TTTGTGCCATGCTGATGCACTCCCACAGTAAATCCCAGCCTTTCCTCTGCACACCATCATTTCCCAACATACTGAATATACTGCCTGAACTTTGGCTGGGCTGTGCTTCTCAAGCTACCCAGGGAAACTGTCATGCTCCAGTTTGTCTCAAGAGTCCTGTACTGTGAAGCATCCTGCTTCTCATTTCACCATTTAATTCCATTCCTTTCTGCTCCCAGATTCTTTCTGTTCCTTTAAGTCATCCCCTTGTTATAGCCCAGACAACATGGTTGGTTGTTGTTATTTTCCTCAGTTCTTTTCTAGTAGCCATAATTCATACTTAGATACAATCAATCCTCTGTTCTCTGAATGCTGTCACTCTGCTTTGAGCACACTTCCACTGCTGATGCATCTCTAACCTGATATTTGCAGCTCCTCCAAGAGACACCTTTTGCCTGAGACACCGTAGCACCAGCATCCAGCTGCATCTCTGCAGCACAAAGACAAAACAGAAACACAACTTCCTCCTATGGAACTCTGCTCTTCAGTTTGACAGCCTGTCTGCACTGTCCAGGAGGTCTGAATGTGCACATTATGGGCTAGAAGAAATTAAAGTCTGACAAAGACAGATGAGGAAATTGCACCACTCCACGCCCACAGCCACAAAACACAACATCAGGAAATGCTACATCCTTTCTTTCTGTTATTTAAAGGGTAGATGCTGTTCTTCTCCTGCCCAAAAATTAGGAAGTGAGGAGGGGAAAAGGATAAACCAAGCAACACGCGTTATCTATTTAATCAATTTGACAGAGGAAGTCATCCTCTCTCATGTAAAAGGACTTAAGCTGTTAAGATGAAGTCCCTATCTTTCAATAACACCATCAGACCATTTCCAAGCACAAACTGGGGATCAAGGATCAAGCGAAAGGAATATCATATTTTGGTAAGTCAACTCTTATCTCTCCAGCTGCCACGCCAAAGGCTGCTGAGGTGGAATGAAAGCAGAGTTTCAATCAGCAACAAAACGCTGCAGCTCACGGACAGAGTCGCTCAAACAGGTACAAGTCCCACAGGCTTTGCGGGATCCACGTATCAAAACACAGATGTAAGATTGTGCCATCCTCAGCAGCTCACCTGCAGGGCTCTGTGGCTCTTGGGAACAGAAGCTATCAAGAGAAGAACAACTCATTTTCGTTGTGCTATACAAGCCTTTGTTTGGGGGAATTTAGCACAAACCAAACACAAATGGAACTTGTGCCACTGAGGCTCGTGCCTTGTCTAGTGCAGTAAGAACAGAAAGTCCCTCACAATATTTACCAATAAAAGCAGGCAACAAGTAACATCAGTAAGGTTTTCTTTCACTGCTAATGTCTGTGGGTTTTTTTGTTGTTGTTGTTTGCTTTGTTTTTTTTTGTGTGTTTTTCAAAAATCACATTCCTGCTAAATAAGCATCTATTTTCCCAGTTGTCTACATTTAAAGCTGCAGAAGACAGTGGATCTAAGAATTACATTAAGTTCCCTATTCATATACATATACATATTGGTTCCCTATTCATATATATACCAAGTTCCCTATTCATATACATATACAAATTTATGTCCCAAGGGAAGACCTACAGTAACTCCAGGCTGAATTAGTGTGTGAATCAGTGATTTTAACAATACCTACACATTCATTGCACAGGACTCTTTCAAATCACCTTATATGTCACACGGGTGGTTGTTTGACGCACGTATCAGCTATTTTTTCTAGATTTTCTGTAAGCTTCAAATAGATTAAAGCAACAGTATAGCAACCCCAAATGGTATTTTTCAGCATCACAGCTAATGCTTCCCATTTAAGGGGAGTTATCACCTTAAAATTAAGTACAAACTATTTTTGAAGTTCTAAAAACTCAATGTTGGCAGCCTTACCACAAATAGACTTTCTGGTTGCTTGGTTCACTCAGAAGGTGGTTCTGAACAGATTGTTACCGGCAGCTGTGTTCAGACATTATTTTGACCCTGTTATCTCCTTCCCTATTATTCTGGGGGGAAAAACCTAATATTTTATATCATCCTTTCCTCTAACTGCCCCTCAACCCTGTGTCTGGTTTTAACCTGCAGCAGTCTTTCTCTTGTCCTTGTTCCCTGCCACACGTCTCTTTCCTGTGACTGCCAGTCCACTGCCAGAACATTTAACTTTCTCCTGCCCCAAGTCAGGACCTACCACGGCCTATGGAAAAAATTACAAGACAACAAAAATAATCATTTATTTGCAAAGGCAGGGTTTGCTCTTTCCCTGCAGCTGGCTTTTTTTCCTGGAAGGAAGCAAGGTAGGGCTCACTTCTCAGTGTCACTTCTAAATATCAAATATAAATGAAGGCTTGCAATACCATCCTCTGTGAAAGTGAAAGCACCACCAGTGGGTTACTGGATGCCCAGGTGTACCCTGTTTAGAAAAAACTAGATATTAACTAGTCTAACAAAACTTCTTTGTGTTTATTTAAAGCGAGACCTTTCATAATTAGTTTTATGGATTTCATTTAATGAAAACCTTTTACAGTCTGGGTAAACACATTCCATTTATTGTGATAAAGAATTTGGAGATCACAAATGATCCTGATAAAGACTCTGTGATGGAGTCATACCTTCCAAGCTCACGCTGACCGTTCTTTGATATAAGACCTGCAGTCAGCTAACTCACACCAGTATTTTTAAATAAGCTCCCATCACTTGAACTGAAGCAAAAAGAAAAGCCTGATTCTTCCCAAACCCTGTTCTCTCATTCAGAGTTATAAATAAAAAGAGAATCTCACCTCAAGGTGTGCATAAATTCTTAGCTTCCCCAGCACACACTCAGACTCTGCAGCTCAGAAGCAGACCATGCCAACGTGAAAAGATGCACAGGAGATTATTTAGTAAAAAATACACTGACATCCCATTTTCAGAAAGTTGCAGACAACTTCCTTTTATGGTTACAAATATTTCTTGCCATTTAAACAACCAAGCAAACACGGTTTTTCCAGTACAAGTGATATTCTCTATTACCATTTCTGCATTCAATTTGCTATCTGTATTCGTGGGCCTGATAAACACATTACAAACAACGTAAAACAGGACCACTTCACCACTTACTGATGACATACAGGTGTGTAGGAGTTTGGTACTTCCCTCCTTGCTAAGAAAACATAATGACAAAAGAAAAAATGCACTGAAAAACAGTGGCTTCCCTCATCACTGAACTATTCAGAAAACAACAACTCTATTTCAATTCACGTCATTCACTGGGTGCTCTAAGGAAAACCAAGGAGGTAGTGCTGCTTTCTGGATTCAGTATACTTCTGAAAACCTTTACTATGAAAGTTTTGTGTAATTGTACCAGAAATAGGTTATTTTGAAGTCCTACCACCACGTATGAAAATTGGGAAATACCATCTATTTTCTTGTCTATCATTTCAGTTAACCTTTTCTAGAAGGCGTACATCTTCAGACAGTGGGGAGGTCTCTTCCTTGCTTTGTGTCCATGTTTAGATAAAGATCACTACAAGTTCCCCCATCCAGTGCCCTAAACAAGACATAAATGCCATCATCATCAGTCTTAACAAGCTCTAAATTGCAATGTATATTAACAGAATGACCTTCTCCAGTAAGATTTTCATTAGCAAACTAGGATGGAAAACAGTAAGTAGCACCACTTAGCCAATTTTAATAGATTATCTACATCATTCTTTGTGACGTTGATATTCAGAGCAAGAAATTTGGGATCCCTACAAGCCATCATAAAGCACAAAGTTAACCACTTTTTTTAATCCTGTATTACCTAGAAAGTATTACCAGACAGGTTTGCAAGTTTGGCTGCTGCAGAAAGTTTGCCTGCAAAGCTGCTATGTGTGAGCAAGAAACAGCATGTCACAATTCCACATATAAATGCACAGTGCCAGGTTATTTCTGCTGAAGGTAAGAAAATTTGACAACAACATGACCACAACACTAGTGAATGAGGACAGCCAAAAGCTGGTAGCAGAGGCCATGCCCATTTCCCAAAGGGGCCAGCAGGACATCCATACCACTGAAGAAAAGCCTCCAAACATCTGCCATCTGCCAATGGATAAGTGCTGAATGTAGCAAACATCTAAATGCCAAATCCTTATGCTAAGGTTTCCCTTCTTTTTTCTTTTCCACTCAAAACTTCTTAAAGAGACACCAGATGTCCGCTGCTGTATAAGTCACACAAAAAGCAAAGGCAGTAAGGATGTGCCCCCAGCTCTGCCCTGCACTCTCAACCTGCCAGGCTTCCTTGGCAAAGGAAAAGGATGATGCTAGGGATACTCGTGCTGTGAGAGTGAGTGAGGAGCACTAATCATGATTTCCCTTAGTGATTCATTTATGAAAATGGGATCCAATATACCTGAAACATGAGGAATGTGATCCTTTAATTATTACTGAAAAGGCCAAAACGTGCTTTAGAAAGAAGATAGATTTTTCCTATCCTTGGATCAAAACAGATCTGTTCCAATACGAAAGGCAAAAGGAAGACACTGCAGAGCGTTCAAATAGGTTTCTTGGTCAGAAGTGAGGGGAACAATCAGCACAATGAAACAGAATACAGAAATATATCTTAACAATTCAGTGCTTATTGCTTATCCCTACTGTACTGAATAACTAACACTGACCTGCTGCTACTTAACAAGAACATATGTTTTGCTATAAACCTGCACAGTGAAAATTTGGTAAGTCAAGTCCTAAGATCTATTTGCCTATTGGAGAATCAGTTGAAAAGCTCTCGTTTGCTCTGTCCGTTTCAAAAGAAAGCAGACATACACTGTAGAAGAAAGTCTTGCAGGCAAACACACTGCATGAATAAAAACAACACTCTCAAACACTTGCCCATGGATGAAAAGGCAAAATATACCTACAACATACCAAAATTCATGAAATTAATTCAGATCTCCAAAGAAGCACATCTACAAGAAGGACAGGTGGAGTTAATGCATCAGTAAGCAACCCAAAACATCCATGGAAAGCAGCAGAAACACTACCTGCACATTTTGTCCTTGTTGTGAGTGGCGGTCCAGGTGGTCCTGTGCCTCCTTCTCCAGGGCGAGTCAGCAGCACTCTGATCTCATATTCCACATCTGGGTCCAGATGCCACAGTTTGTAATTGGGAGAGTCCACAATGTGTGTTTCTGCCCAGTTCCCAGTGGTTGTCCGATACTCCACCTCTTTCAGTATGATGGGCCCGTCTCCAATGATGGAGTTGGCGTTGGGTTTGATCCACAGGTAGGTGGCTCCAACAGCCAGCAGTTCAGGAGGGGCAATAGGAGTTGGGGGTTCTGTAGATAAAAAGAAATCATGAGAGGCCTGAGGTTGTTTCATCGAAACGAAATTTCCACTATGTACCTGTAAAGCAAGTTTGCCCCCAAATCTTTCGTTAGTTACTGAGCGTTTCCTGTCATTTACCAAATCTTTCATGAGAATTTGTTTTCCGTTATGGAAAAACAAAGGAAAAAGACATTATATTTGTTTTGAAGTTACTGCCCCTTGTACTGGTGTATTAATGCAACTGGTAGCATTACCAATGCAGAAACATTACTTCAAAAATACAGTGCCTACAAAGCAGCTTCTGCTGAAAATATAAAGCACAACAGTCACACATTTAAAAGATCAGAAGGTTTGTACTTATTCCCTCCTTTATTCATATGCATAACGGCTGTGAATATAACACAGGAGGAGGAAAAAAAGTCTTAAATAACACAGATTGAGCATAACTGTGTAGTGCTTAAAATGACACAACTAGCAATGAGTGGAAAACTCAAATCACTTGCTCATTCCGTAGTTTTATTAAGGCAAACAAATGTGAAAAATAGGATAGATTTGTAATGAAAGCACTGGTTATTTGTCTGAGAAGGTACTGCAGCTATGAACACTGGGGATCTCCCAGTGGTCCTGCACTCCAGACATCACTAAAACTGACTGAGAGCTTTGGTAGCTCAGAGCTAAGAAAAACAAAGGCACCAATGACTGACTGCGAAGTTTGCTTAATTTCATGAGCAGAAGTACACAAGTAAAGTCTGTTTGAGACTTGGAAGAGTGCCTAGATGTTTGAGAAGCATCACGAGGAACCCAGCCACTGAATATAACCTGTGTGATAGAAAAGCAAAGACAAGTACCAATATCTCAGCAGCATCTCAGCATCTCAGCGACAAAAACCACTGCTGGTCTCCTGGGCTCTGCCTGCCTGATCCCCCCCTGCACCGTCAGGATGTAAGTACCACCATGGTATTGGAAGCCACATGAATAGCTTATGCTTTGTGGTTTTGAAAACCCGAGCTGAACTGTGCAAGATTATGAGCAATTTCATTAATTTCATTTACCTTTGCTCTGCCACTCTAATGTGGTTTGTCTTCAGAGGACACAGATCCTATTCTCTTGTGCAAACAAGGTGACAAAAAGGACATTTCTCTCTCAGAAGAAGAAACATATGAATGTTACATTAATTTTAGAGCCCTATGGGAATTACTGCACACCCCACAACCCCCACAGCTGATTCCTCACAGAGCCTAGAAAACAGCAAGAAGGCAGAACCACAGGAATGGGGAAGAAAGGAGTTGGTGCACCACGGGATGGGAGGAACAGAGCACTTTCCCTTTCGGAGAAGTTTTGCAGGTTAACATCTGCTCACTGAAGAGAAACAAATGCACAGAAACCACTATTATACAAAATTACCAACTAAAACATTACCTGATTTCACCTCCTCTGGCTAACTGATCACAATGAGCTATGCATCTGAGATCAATTGCATCAGCTGTGCATTGTACCTCCAAAAAAGCACCAGTCTGAACTGTAATTGGAACAGGTATCCAACAAGAACATAAACTGCTGTCATGAGCTAAATCTTTACATGTTGGTTTGTTTCTGCTGTTATTCTGCGATGTTCCCTTACCTGCAGGCAGATTTTTGTCCCCCAATACAAAATGTCAGGCTGATTATATTTTGACACAGTAAAGTTATTTCTCAAAAACAACAAAAAAAAAAAGTGTTCAAGAAATGCATGTTGATACATTTTCATTAAAAATCAGATTATTGTAAAGATTATTATAAATCTTAACTTGTTTATTACTTGTTTCTTGCTGCAAGACTATTAAAAGATAGACTCACTGATTTTTATTCCCAATGCAAACATGACATCTTGCAAGTCACATTACAGCTGAAAGCAAGACAAATGAAATACTAAGCATCATTCTCCTGGGCTGTAGATACTTCAACAACAGCACGATCCAGGTTACTCTGGGATTTGATTGCCAGTTAGAACAAATTTATGGGCCTGAGTTTAATTAATAAAACAGTTTGTCCTGCTAACCAGACATTAAAGTCTTGTCTAGCAAGTTTAGAAACTAATATTGCCAAAGCAATTTAAATTAAGACGACATCCAGCATTATTTCACTGTCTACTTCAGGACAGATCTAAACTGCCTCCCCTCCACCTCTGCCAAGATGGGGATGATGGTTTCCATTTTCTTCTACCCACTCATTTTTGGCTCTCCAGTAACATCAGAGAAATAGACATTGCAGGATATTAGAAAATTAGGAGTTGAAACTGTTGCTCTCATTTTCCAAACTGAAGAAGCAAAGATGAGCAGCAGTAACTGTAATTTTTCAGGACTCAATAACACCTCACTGCACATAATGGGCTCTTTCCTACTGGCACCAACTGGACAGAAAGCTACTTTTCAACATCACTCTTTGCCAAGTTATTGCAAGTGATCTAAACAAGTTATTCATTATTTAGCACAACTAGCACATAAATAAGGACCCCTTTTGTCCATTGTAACTAAACACGCTTGTCAGTTACAGATGACCAGGCTCATGCTATCAGCTTGCTTTTGTAATTAAAACCTCTGTGCGACCTTGATTAAATAAACAGGGTAACAGATTGGGTCTGTACACATGCAATTGTGATCAGCAGTATTTTAAGCCTCATTTGATCCATCCAGCCAGTCTTTCATATTGCAAGCTTTGCCCACCATTTTGCTCCCTTTCAGCCTTTATCCCCTCTTCCTGCAGACTCTTCAGGAAAGAGCACATCTGGAACTGGGCTGCTGCAATGGGGATGGCATCTAGCCTGAATCCCAGTCCCAGGAAGGACACAGAAATGAGGGTCCTAGATGACTTCTTCCAAGAAAAGACAAGACATACGTAGTACAAGCCCAAAACAGAGTTACTGAACATGCATAGATTTTACCCTGTGCACAAAGCACTCCCAATTACGCAGTCAGCAATGGAATTCAGGGTGCACTCTTCTCCCCCCCCCCCCCATCCTCCCCCCATAAGAGGAAACACTTCACATACTGCACCCATTTTACTCTTGGGCAACTGTTTCTGGGTATCTCTACTCTACTACTGGAATATTTGTCTACATGACAATTCTAAGCAATTGCTTTAATAGGGCTCAAAGGGCTCCAAAATGAGGGAGAGAAAAGAGGATGAACCAAGTGATCTGCAACAAAGCACTGGGTGCAGGGTGGATGAAAAAACTTGAAATAAGAACAGGGGTTATGTTCTATACTTAGTTTTCCAGTTATCTGTATAGTTCAGTGGTAAAACCCTGTGAAGTGGACCAAAAGATGGAGAAAGTCAATAGAAGTCTGCTAAGCTCTGGCAGTTGGGATCAATCATGAAGGAAAAAAGATATTATAGAAGACAAATTATTTGTTTGAGTCACCTTCACCACACTACTTTTTTTTTTCCTCTCCTATAAAGATGATGTACTGTTAGTAAGAAAATGTTACTTTGGGAAAAATCAAGAAGTGTGTTAGAAACATGGCAGGAAGCAGCTGATTGTCAGTCCTTGGTAGAGGTCTCAACAGTTCTGGAGCTTTTCATGGAAACAAAGAGCTCCCAAGGAAAACATGAAATGCTACAGATTTTGATTGCTGCAGTGAAAGAAACCAGAATTATCTTCATAGGAGGTGCTGGGTAATCCTTTAAGTAGTAGATCAGTAGATCTTCAATGTATAAGCAACTGTAAAATGTACTAGATTGACTATCATACAAGTAAAAGACATGTAGTTGCTCTCCCAGCAGTGTGACAAATACTCCCCAATCAGCAACGACTTTCATCTTCCAAATGCACCCAGAGGTACATTAGGATTATTTCACAGAGTGCTTTTTCTGAACTCTTTTTGCCAACTTTAGCCCAACTTACCTCTCACATCTAAAACCCCAGTGTGAAAAAGCAAGATGAGATTGCTGAAAACTGAGCAGCCTGTTCAAAAGCCAAATAGAACTGAGGGAAAAATTCCCTTTTGGCAGAAGTATATGATGAAGCAGACGTGGCAAAAAATGTTCGAAAATACAGTTGCAAGAAACATGCTCAGCCTAACTGAAACAAAGCTAAAGCCATTAATCTTATTGCCCATTACTGAATACAAACAGAAACCAGTGCTTATGTTCCATAAGGAGATAATCTTAGAAGAGGTTAATACCTTCTAGGACAACCAACCAGCTATCTAAATGTTGCAGTGAATATCCCTTGCATTAATGCTGTCTGAAAGTTTGTATCATCTTTAACAACACAGAGAAGCAATTCCTGAGCAAGTCCTTGCTAAACGCCTATTCTAAACCACTACAATCCCAAATGGAAAGCAATGATCTCCTAACTAAGAACAAATCCTGAGTATGGAGCTGGAAAGGAGCACAGCCAAGGTCTTGCTGTATCAATCCTCATGAAAGAAGACCGAAGTTCCATCACCATCACGACATCTCTGATCTGTCCACAGGAAAAGGGGCATTCTCTACCAAAAGACCTTTAGAAACACTCCAGTGTTCTCATGGGCAGCAGAAAGGAACTGCCAAACAAGCTATCTCAAAATCAGATGTGAAAACAGGAGAATGTTGAGGGTTTTTGTTTGTTTGTTTGTATGTAGGTTTGTTCTAAATCAGTGCTTCAGATTTCTATAAGAAAGTAAAAAAATGCTCTCTGCCAAATTGGCACACTTCTGTTGCTGGTTTTCTGGGGTGCTGCTGCAATTGGACGCTTGTTCTTTGCTTTTTGATTTTTTGAGACTTCATGCATGTATCTCATGACAGAAGGGAATATTTCTGTGAACAGCTTACATCAGTTACAAAAAATTCAAGAAAATTAATTGACAAAACTGAAGCCATGGAATGTAGCTGCTTTTTGATCAGGGATAGAAGAGACTGATCTTTCTGATAGTAAAAGCAAAGGGAAAGCAGCTGATTCCTTCACAGAGAGTTAGTGTTAATACTGGGAAATTTTTCTGTGTGTCTTGTCCTGCTTCCAAAGACAGAGAACACACAGGAACACAAGATC